GCACGGCTCACCTCGTTGCAAGATAAATACCTCATGCAGGGCATACATGCACGGCTCACCTCGTTGCAAGATAAATACCTCATGCAGGGCATACATGCACGGCTCACCTCGTTGCAAGATAAATACCTCATGCAGGGCATACATGCACGGCTCACCTCGTTGCAAGATAAATACCTCATGCAGGGCATACATGCACGGCTCACCTCGTTGCAAGATAAATACCTCATGCAGGGCATACATGCACGGCTCACCTCGTTGCAAGATAAATACCTCATGCAGGGCATACATGCACGGCTCACCTCGTTGCAAGATAAATACCTCATGCAGGGCATACATGCACGGCTCACCTCGTTGCAAGATAAATACCTCATGCAGGGCATACATGCATGGCTCACCTCGTTGCAAGATAAATACCTCATGCAGGGCATACATGCACGGCTCACCTCGTTGCAAGATAAACACCTCATGCAGGGCATACATGCACGGCTCACCTCGTTGCAAGATAAATACCTCATGCAGGGCATACATGCACGGCTCACCTCGTTGCAAGATAAATACCTCATGCAGGGCATACATGCACGGCTCACCTCGTTGCAAGATAAATACCTCATGCAGGGCATACATGCACGGCTCACCTCGTTGCAAGATAAATACCTCATGCAGGGCATACATGCACGGCTCACCTCGTTGCAAGATAAATACCTCATGCAGGGCATACATGCACGGCTCACCTCGTTGCAAGATAAATACCTCATGCAGGGCATACATGCACGGCTCACCTCGTTGCAAGATAAATACCTCATGCAGGGCATACATGCACGGCTCACCTCGTTGCAAGATAAATACCTCATGCAGGGCATACATGCACGGCTCACCTCGTTGCAAGATAAATACCTCATGCAGGGCATACATGCACGGCTCACCTCGTTGCAAGATAAACACCTCATGCAGGGCATACATGCACGGCTCACCTCGTTGCAAGATAAATACCTCATGCAGGGCATACATGCACGGCTCACCTCGTTGCAAGATAAATACCTCATGCAGGGCATACATGCACGGCTCACCTCGTTGCAAGATAAATACCTCATGCAGGGCATACATGCACGGCTCACCTCGTTGCAAGATAAACACCTCATGCAGGGCATACATGCACGGCTCACCTCGTTGCAAGATAAATACCTCATGCAGGGCATACATGCACGGCTCACCTCGTTGCAAGATAAATACCTCATGCAGGGCATACATGCACGGCTCACCTCGTTGCAAGATAAATACCTCATGCAGGGCATACATGCACGGCTCACCTCGTTGCAAGATAAATACCTCATGCAGGGCATACATGCACGGCTCACCTCGTTGCAAGATAAATACCTCATGCAGGGCATACATGCACGGCTCACCTCGTTGCAAGATAAATACCTCATGCAGGGCATACATGCACGGCTCACCTCGTTGCAAGATAAATACCTCATGCAGGGCATACATGCACGGCTCACCTCGTTGCAAGATAAATACCTCATGCAGGGCATACATGCACGGCTCACCTCGTTGCAAGATAAATACCTCATGCAGGGCATACATGCACGGCTCACCTCGTTGCAAGATAAATACCTCATGCAGGGCATACATGCACGGCTCACCTCGTTGCAAGATAAATACCTCATGCAGGGCATACATGCACGGCTCACCTCGTTGCAAGATAAATACCTCATGCAGGGCATACATGCACGGCTCACCTCGTTGCAAGATAAATACCTCATGCAGGGCATACATGCACGGCTCACCTCGTTGCAAGATAAATACCTCATGCAGGGCATACATGCACGGCTCACCTCGTTGCAAGATAAATACCTCATGCAGGGCATACATGCACGGCTCACCTCGTTGCAAGATAAATACCTCATGCAGGGCATACATGCACGGCTCACCTCGTTGCAAGATAAATACCTCATGCAGGGCATACATGCACGGCTCACCTCGTTGCAAGATAAATACCTCATGCAGGGCATACATGCACGGCTCACCTCGTTGCAAGATAAATACCTCATGCAGGGCATACATGCACGGCTCACCTCGTTGCAAGATAAATACCTCATGCAGGGCATACATGCACGGCTCACCTCGTTGCAAGATAAATACCTCATGCAGGGCATACATGCACGGCTCACCTCGTTGCAAGATAAATACCTCATGCAGGGCATACATGCACGGCTCACCTCGTTGCAAGATAAATACCTCATGCAGGGCATACATGCACGGCTCACCTCGTTGCAAGATAAATACCTCATGCAGGGCATACATGCACGGCTCACCTCGTTGCAAGGCAAATGCAACGCATCCTCAACTCACCTGCCCTTGGGGATGGCATCGAGGATTTGGACCGCGCTGTAGGAGAGCAAGTAGATGGGACCAGCCGCATACAGGAAATACTTCGGCCCCAGCAGCCATGCCTGGGGCTCATACCTGCACAGAACAGAAACAGGGAGAGGTCAATAGTGAGTATGTGAACAGCAGGAACCAGGTGAGGGATTGGTTTGCATGGTTCACAAAACAGACCACGAGAAACAGTGTGTAGTGAGGTGTATTTTGAGGTGCCTCAAAGGAACCAGGTGAGGGATCGGTTTGCATGGTTCACAAAACAGGCCACGAGAAACAGCAGGAGACAGTAGTCGAGTTTGACTGAGAAGACCGGGAAGACATGGAAGAAATGGAAGTCGTGTAGTATGGCAACTCCCCACCTTTTGAGACGCCTCGAAACATGGCAACTCACCACCTTTTGAGACGCCTCGAAACATGGCAACTCACCACCTTTTGAGACGCCTCGAAACATGGCAACTCACCACCTTTTGAGGCGCCTCGAAACATGGCAACTCACCACCTTTTGAGACGCCTCGAAACATGGCAACTCACCACCTTTTGAGACGCCTCGAAACATGGCAACTCACCACCTTTTGAGACGCCTCGAAACATGGCAACTCACCACCTTTTGAGGCTCCTCGAAACATGGCAACTCACCACCTTTTGAGGCTCCTCGAAACATGGCAACTCACCACCTTTTGAGGCTCCTCGAAACATGGCAACTCACCACCTTTTGAGGCTCCTCGAAACATGGCAACTCACCACCTTTTGAGGCTCCTCGAAACATGGCAACTCACCACCTTTTGAGGCTCCTCGAAACATGGCAACTCACCACCTTTTGAGGCTCCTCGAAACATGGCAACTCACCAGCTCATCTTGGGGTTATTAACCACCTCAGTTCCGTTGTGGAAGCATCCAAGGTAGGTTAGAGGTGATTTCCTTGGCGTGGCGATCAGAGAAGAGAGGCGCTCTGTAGGGCCGCACAGAACCAGGCGGTAGAGAAGCAGGGGCGAACAGAACCAGGCAGCAGAGGAGAGAGGCGATCTCTAGGGAAGAACAGAACCAGGCAGCAGAGGAGAGAGGCGATCTCTAGGGGCGAACAGAACCAGGCAGCAGAGGAGAGAGGCGATCTCTAGGGAAGAACAGAACCAGGCAGCAGAGGAGAGAGGCGATCTCTAGGGAAGAACAGAACCAGGCAGCAGAGGAGAGAGGCGATCTCTAGGGAAGAACAGAACCAGGCAGCAGAGGAGAGAGGCGATCTCTAGGGAAGAACAGAACCAGGCAGCAGAGTCTGGGACTCGTGAGAGCAAAGACTTTCAAAGTCGGCAGCAACATATGAATCTCATCACCTTCCCCACAGGAAGCTTTCAGGCACTATGAGGTACAACCACACTCAATCACATCAGCCACCCTTTCACTATGTAAGGTCAAATGGATGCTTCCATTCGCCTGACTTGGAAAGAACATTTTATTTGAGGTTTATTTTGAGAATTCTCAAAATCAACCACCTACAACCACACTCAGTCACATCAGCCACCCTTCCACTATGTAAGGTCAAATGGATGTTCCCATTCGCCTGACTTGGAAAGAACCCCGTTCCATAGCGCTTGGGATTTTGGAGGGCTTTGAAACCGAGGGCTTTAGAACCCCACCCAGCCTCACAGAGCATGGGAAGATGTAAGATGGGCGAACCTGGTATCAAGAAGATGTCGTCGTCTGCCTTGACGTAGAACTCGGCTTCATAGAGCTTGAAGACTGTCGTGAAAAACTTCAGAGTGGCGAGAGATGCACAGGGATAGAAAATTTCAAGAGCAGGTGGAGAAATAATTAGTAAAAGTTCAACAATCACTGGTAATAAAAAAAGGTACAGGATTCTGTAACCTAACCTTTACATTACCAATCTCTGTCTCGATATACCATCAAGAATCTAACAATGCAACAAAGAATAGCAGAGAATAGCCGGCACAACAGGTGAACGAATAGCAGAGAATAGCCGGCACAACAGGTGAACGAATAGCAGAGAATAGAAGGCAGGGGAGATGAACGAAACTCCAAGGAGCTACAGCAGGTAAGCGGACGGCACAAAGAACGCATGATCATTCAGAGCTTCAGACGCAGCAGCACAGCAGCACGTGAGGAGGAAGAAGTATAATAACCGCGAGCACATCACGCGATCTTCATGCCATGAGAGGTCCATACGTCGCCATCACATGGGGTGACTTTGAGTTGTCACAAAGGTCACCTCACACACCACGCTATCATCATGTCATCACGTGAGCACCTCATGACATCAACATAACAACAGCGAGCTCCTCACACTATTAGCAGGCCACGGAAGCCGAGTTGACTTTTGAGTCGACTCAAAAGTTGACTTTTAAGTTTTGAGTCGACTCAAAAGTCAACTCGGTATAATGTCACACGGTATTTTGAGTCGACTCAAACATCAACATAACAACAGCGAGCTCCTCACACTATTAGCATGCCACGGAAGCCGCATACGTCACCATTGCGTGAGCACCTTACATTGCCACCACACGAGCACCTCGCATTGCCATCACACGAGCACCTTACATTGCCATCACACGAGCACCTTACATTGCCATCACACGAGCACCTCGCATTGCCATCACGCGAGCACCTCATGTCTTGCGGCTGAGATTGAGGTATCCCTCCTGGGTGTCGATGCGAAGGAAGTCCCCGTGAGTGCTGTTCTCCGCCTGCAGCAGCTGCTCTTCCGCATCACCGCTGCTTCCTCTGTCTGTGCTGCTTCCTCCGTCTGTGCCACCGTGCCCGATGATGAACCGGAACACCAACCCCGTTGCTGCTTCTACCCTGGGATGCATGTAGGGGGGAGAGGGAGGGGGGGGGGGGGGGGGGGGGGGGGGTGGGGATGGGGAGGGCAGGGGGCACCTGCAGCAGCCGCTCGGCCACTGTGCTCCTGCCATGCCCCATGATGAACTGGAACAGCAGCCCCGTTGCTGCTTCTACCCTGGGAGACATGCAAAAGGGGAAAGCCCCGTTGCTGCTTCTACCCTGGGAGACATGCAAAAGGGGAAAGCCCCGTTGCTGCTTCTACCCTGGGAGACATGCAAAAGGGGAAAGCCCCGTTGCTGCTTCTACCCTGGGAGACATGCAAAAGGGGAAAGCCCCGTTGCTGCTTCTACCCTGGGAGACATGCAAAAGGGGAAAGCCCCGTTGCTGCTTCTACCCTGGGAGACATGCAAAAGGGGAAAGCCCCGTTGCTGCTTCTACCCTGGGAGACATGCAAAAGGGGAAAGCCCCGTTGCTGCTTCTACCCTGGGAGACATGCAAAAGGGGAAAGCCCCGTTGCTGCTTCTACCCTGGGAGACATGCAAAAGGGGAAAGCCCCGTTGCTGCTTCTACCCTGGGAGACATGCAAAAGGGGAAAGCCCCGTTGCTGCTTCTTCCCTGGGAGACATGCAAAAGGGGAAAGCGAGCGGGGAGGGCGCATCACATCCATGTGCTCGTCCACTGCACTGCACTCCTGCCATGCCCCGCGATGAACCGAAACAGCAATTCCGTTGCTGCTTCCACTCTGGAGAGTATGTGAGGGAGGAGGACGGGGAGGGGGAAGGGGTGCAGAGAGAGAGAGAGAGGGCGCAGCTCAGATTAACCGGGACATCAGCCCGTTGCTGCTTGCACCCTTGGGAATATGTGAATGGAGGAGGGCGAGGAGAGGGGGCATGGGAGGGGAATGGGGGGAAAGGGTGCAGAGAGGGCACAATGCGTATGAGCTGGAACAACAGCCCTGTTGCTGCTTTCATCATGAACTTGCTACACCTCGTGCTGCACGCCCTCATGCCCCACGCCCTCATGCCCCACGCCCTCATGCCCCACGCCCTCATGCCCCACGCCCTCATGCCCCACGCCCTCATGCCCCACGCCCTCATGCCCCACGCCCTCATGCCCCACGCCCTCATGCCCCACGCCCTCATGCCCCACGCCCTCATGCCCCACGCCCTCATGCCCCACGCCCTCATGCCCCACGCCCTCATGCCCCACGCCCTCATGCCCCACGCCCTCATGCCCCACGCCCTCATGCCCCACGCCCTCATGCCCCACGCCCTCATGCCCCACGCCCTCATGCCCCACGCCCTCATGCCCCACGCCCTCATGCCCCACGCCCTCATGCCCCACGCCCTCATGCCCCACGCCCTCATGCCCCACGCCCTCATGCCCCACGCCCTCATGCCCCACGCCCTCATGCCCCACGCCCTCATGCCCCACGCCCTCATGCCCCACGCCCTCATGCCCCACGCCCTCATGCCCCACGCCCTCATGCCCCACGCCCTCATGCCCCACGCCCTCATGCCCCACGCCCTCATGCCCCACGCCCTCATGCCCCACGCCCTCATGCCCCACGCCCTCATGCCCCACGCCCTCATGCCCCACGCCCTCATGCCCCACGCCCTCATGCCCCACGCCCTCATGCCCCACGCCCTCATGCCCCACGCCCTCATGCCCCACGCCCTCATGCCCCACGCCCTCATGCCCCACGCCCTCATGCCCCACGCCCTCATGCCCCACGCCCTCATGCCCCACGCCCTCATGCCCCACGCCCTCATGCCCCACGCCCTCATGCCCCACGCCCTCATGCCCCACGCCCTCATGCCCCACGCCCTCATGCCCCACGCCCTCATGCCCCCACGCCCTCATGCCCCACGCCCTCATGCCCCACGCCCTCATGCCCCACGCCCTCATGCCCCACGCCCTCATGCCCCACGCCCTCATGCCCCACGCCCTCATGCCCCACGCCCTCATGCCCCACGCCCTCATGCCCCACGCCCTCATGCCCCACGCCCTCATGCCCCACGCCCTCATGCCCCACGCCCTCATGCCCCACGCCCTCATGCCCCACGCCCTCATGCCCCACGCCCTCATGCCCCACGCCCTCATGCCCCACGCCCTCATGCCCCACGCCCTCATGCCCCACGCCCTCATGCCCCACGCCCTCATGCCCCACGCCCTCATGCCCCACGCCCTCATGCCCCACGCCCTCATGCCCCACGCCCTCATGCCCCACGCCCTCATGCCCCACGCCCTCATGCCCCACGCCCTCATGCCCCACGCCCTCATGCCCCACGCCCTCATGCCCCACGCCCTCATGCCCCACGCCCTCATGCCCCACGCCCTCATGCCCCACGCCCTCATGCCCCACGCCCTCATGCCCCACGCCCTCATGCCCCACGCCCTCATGCCCCACGCCCTCATGCCCCACGCCCTCATGCCCCACGCCCTCATGCCCCACGCCCTCATGCCCCACGCCCTCATGCCCCACGCCCTCATGCCCCACGCCCTCATGCCCCACGCCCTCATGCCCCACGCCCTCATGCCCCACGCCCTCATGCCCCACGCCCTCATGCCCCACGCCCTCATGCCCCACGCCCTCATGCCCCACGCCCTCATGCCCCACGCCCTCATGCCCCACGCCCTCATGCCCCACGCCCTCATGCCCCACGCCCTCATGCCCCACGCCCTCATGCCCCACGCCCTCATGCCCACGCCATCATGCCCCACGCCTCATGCCCCACGCCCTCATGCCCCACGCCCTCATGCCCCACGCCCTCATGCCCCACGCCCTCATGCCCCACGCCCTCATGCCCCACGCCCTCATGCCCCACGCCCTCATGCCCCACGCCCTCATGCCCCACGCCCTCATGCCCCACGCCCTCATGCCCCACGCCCTCATGCCCCACGCCCTCATGCCCCACGCCCTCATGCCCCACGCCCTCATGCCCCACGCCCTCATGCCCCACTTGTGTGGCTCCCTCGGGCGCGGAACCACCTCTCGCGAGCGACGATCAGAGGCGACCCAAAGCATGCTTCCGCTATACCGCTCACCACCTACCCCTGCCCTATGCCGCTGCGCTATCGCCCTTGCGCTATGAACCTGCGCTGTGCCCCTGCGCTGTGCCACATGGACAATGTCCCTCCGCCATGCCCCCAATCATCCCTGCCATGCCTGGCGACCTACCGCGCGTGCTCCTCGGGCGCCTCACATACCCCCATTCCCCCTCGCTGTTTCCCCCACAGATGATGGCCTACCGCGCGTGCTCCTCGGGCGTGGCGGGGAACCACGTCTCGCGAAGCAGAGTGCGCCTCTTGCGGCTGCAGCCGAAACCGGTCTGCACCCCGACGAACCCCAGCACGCGCTTCCTGCCCGGGTACCGCAACCGATCTGCACTCCTCTCGTCCATCCCTTGCGGGTCCTCGGCCAAAGGTCCGGCGATCGCGGCTGTTGCTTCAACCGGCGGCTTTAACTCGGTGAATTTCATCGTCCACTGATCGTATCTGAGAACGAGGATGTCTAAAAGGAGGACGATCAGGAAGGCCATTTGGAGTAGGAAGAGGGGCCATGACACGCGCCATGACGTCAGCACTTGCGGCTCGACGGACGTCTGCCTCTCAACTTCCATCTCTGTGTCCCACGGTGGGGAAAGCAGATAGAATGTCTGTGAATATTCTTTTGGATCGTTAAATATCTTTGACGCGCCTCGGTAACCATCAGCGGGGTACTGGATCTCTCACGAATATCTGAACAGATTTTGCAGAGAGAGAAAACAAAACAAACAGTTCTTATGGGAGCACCATGCAGGATAAGCGCCCATTGAGGCTATCATTTGCGGAAAAGGAGGTTCTCGTTAGTCTCATTCCGAGCAGCCATGGATTGAAGAAGTGTATGTTCTGCCTCCCAACATTCCCGCGCCCTCGGGAATGCCGTGCCAGCTAACGTCGAACTCCCGTGGGCTATCCGGCATGGACGGCCGGCAATCAACTGACCGCGTGCAGAAACAAATTTGAGGGTCGGGATGGGATATGACCCGGCGCATTGTGTTTTGAGCTGGGCGCTTTCGAGACGCGTGCCATCAAAATGGGGGAAGCTGAGAAAACATCTAGTTGTTTTGACGGCCCGTCTAATCGCCTGACTAAGGGAAACAGTACTTCTTTGTCTGTGAGTGGCCCGGTTTGGTGAACGCTGATATTTCTGTGCCCAGCAGGAAAGGAATGGTGGCTGCTGCCTGCCGCCGTTCAGACATTCTGCTCGCTTCCATTCCATCTCATGAGAGACAGCTCGAAACGCATCCAAGGCGATGTTCGGCTGCCACAGGGGATGGGGGGAGGGGATGGGATGGAGCATCAGAACGCCGAGCCTCCTGGTTCGATCTGTTCGAACCAGGCAGAACACTTCGGTCAGACATGAAAATTGTGAAAAAAGTGTCGGATGTGAGCCTAAAACGCGACGCGAACCCCGCGCTAGGCTTGAACCCGCGCCGCGTCCTCCCCCCGATTCCCCCCCATGGCGGAAAAACTCCGCCCTAGTGTTCAGGGCATGGAAAGTGCATTCCCGTGGGTAGTCTCAGCCCACGGGGAATGAAAAATCCATGCCCCCTTCCACAATTTTCGTTTATACATTTACTCCACACTCTAAAAAACAAATAACCCGGACATTAAAACTATAACGCTAAACACACAGATTCGAAATGAACTCGCCAAAATTAAATAATGTCGAATCGTCATTTACACCCTTGAATTAATTTATGGTGTACAGAATTCAAGTAGAGCAAGCTACCCAAACAAATCGCAGCAGTAAACTGTTCAGCTCGCGAAGTTTCGCTTCGCGCGGCTGCAGTTTCGTGGGCCCCCATTTCCCGAGTCGCTCCTCCGCGCCTTTTCCCCCAAACTTTCCGCTTCCGCCTGGACTCCAGACTTGGAGTCAACGACGGTTGACTCCGAGCTGACCACCCCGAACTAGAAACCCTAGCTGCAAATCTGATCCCTCCCCCCATCCCTCGGTCGATGCCCTGTGGCAGCCGAACACCGCCCAAACCAAGCACGCCTTGAGCCGAGCGAGGGCTGCCTGTAGCGTACACTTCTTCGAGAAGAGTCTGGTGCTCTCGCCTGCACCATGATGCGATACAAGGAAATGCGATACAACAACGGCAAAGGTAATTATGACTTTGGAAACCTGGTAAGATGATATTTCCGATTGGCTATCTACATTTAGACAAAACAGATGCAATCTTTGCACTTAAAGTGCTTTCTGTCAAATGTTGTAGCCTGTAGTGAGGCTTGTCTTAGGGGGTACACATATTAGGGTTTGCCATATGTACCCCAACCCACATCAATAAACACACAATTCGGTTTCTAACATGGTATCGTTAGGATCGTGTAGGATCCCGTTCCTCGTGCTCGAGCCTCCAAAGCCTCACGCGCCTCACTCGTCCCGTCCTGTCTCGTAGCGCTGCAGTAGCACCCCTTTCGTATGCCCGTCCGCCGCGCGCCTGCAATACCGCTTGCCGCAGCGCGTTCGACCCGTTCTCGCGCCCGTCCTGTCCCGTCCCCCGTCCCGTCCCGCGCCTGCCCGTTAGGCCCGCCGCGGGCCCTCCCTTCGCGCCGCCGCGCCTGCCCGTTAGGCCCGCCGCGGGCCCTCCCTTCGCGCCGCCGCGCCTGCCCGTTAGGCCCGCCGCCGCGCCTGCCCGTTAGGCCCGCCGTAGCGCCTGCTCGTTAGGCCCGCCGCGGGCCCTACCTTCGCGCCGCCGCGCCTGCCCGTTAGGCCCGCCGCGGGCCCTCCCTTTGCGCCGTCGCGCCTACCCGTTAGGCCCGCCGCCGCGCCTGCCCGTTAGCCCGCCGCCGCGCCTGCTCTTTAGGCCAGCCGCGGGCCCTCCCTTCGCGCCGCCGCGCCCGCCCTTTCTACCCGCCACTGCGCCCGCTCGTTAGGCCCGCCACGGGCCCGCCCTTTAGCCGCTGCCGCGCCTGTCAGCTACGCCCGCCGCGGGCCCGTCCCTTGCGCTCGCCGCGGGCCTGCACTCGCTGCCCGCCGCGCTTGCCCATACCACCTGCCGCGCCTGCCCCTAGAGCCTGCCGCGGCCCTGCCCTTTGAGCCCGCTGTGGGCCTGCATTCTTCCGCTTGCCGCCTCTTCCCTTTGCGCTCGTTGTGGGCCTGCCCTTAGAGCTCGCCGTGCCGGCCTTGTAGGGTCCTTCGCTTTGACGCCGCCGTTTCTGCTTTCGCTATGGCGACCCCTAGGGTCCTTCGCTTTGACGCCGAGGGTAGGCCCCTCGAGTTCTCTGTCTGGCTCCAGCGTGCGCAGCGTCTCCTAGAGAGTCAGGTGCAGGCAAACGAGTCTCTATGGGCGCATGCATCCGGTGACCTCCCCGCGCCCCCCGCTCCTGCTACCCTAGGACTTGACGCTACCCCGGAGGATAGAGAGCGTGTTGCACGTCAGCGTGCTGACCTGATTGCCTGGCGATCGTGCGACGCTGCGGCCTGCATCGCCCTCAGCAGCCTCCTCCCTGAGTCCGAGGAGACCCATTTTGCACAGATTCGCACAGCTAGTGAGTTCCTCGCTGCGATTAAGGCCCGCTATGCTATTCCTTCCACCGTCTCTCTTGGCCGCCTGTTCCTCCCCTTCCTGTTCCCTGACCTCGCCTCGTTTGAGCGCTCTGCTGACCTGATTGCTCACCTGTGCTCACTTGACGCTAGCTTTCGCGCTGCTTGCACTGACGCACAGCTTGCACTGCTGCCTCCCCCCATGGCGATCACTATCTATTTCATCGCCACTAGCCTCCCTGACCGCCTTGCTTCGGTTCGTGACGCGCTTCTTCTGAAGCACCCTAGCGAGCTCACTATCGGCGTCCTTGAGTCTGCTCTCAAGGACGTCGAGAGCAACCTCCGCTCGATAGCCTCCGCCTCTGGTGCTGTGCCCCCCCCACTGTTTCACGGGTGCACGGTCCCTCAGCTGCCCACCTTCACTGCCTCCCTTGCCACTGCCTCGACTGACGTGACCGCCGCTACTGCTACAACTTATTCGCGGTCTAGGGGTCGGAGTGGCAGGAGGGGCGGACAGGGTGCGGGCGGCGGTGGTGGTGGTGGCGGAGGTGGAGCTGCGGGTGGAGGTGGCGTGGTGAGCGGCGGTGGTGGGAGTACAGAGGGTAGAGGAGTGCCTCGTGCAGCGGCTAGTGACTCCCATGCTGCAGCTAGTGGAGGTGACGCTCGGGTATGTCAGGCACCGACTGGTCCGCCAGCTGTAGGTGCAGGAGTGGCGGCTTGGTACCTGACTCAGCGCCAGCGGTAGCAGCAACAGCCCCTCCCCTCGCAGCAGCCACAGCAGCAACAGAGGCAGCAGTAGGTTCCGGGGCAGGGGTCAAGACCGCGTCAGCTGTCGCGTGGTGCCGTCCACCCTCCCTGCACCTATCACGTTCTGACAGGTGCCCGCCGAGGCCAGCCTTGTGGCCGCAGCCACCCACCGGGTCAGTGTTTTGCTCAGCTGATTGACACGGTTCAGTTGGCCAACGGCGTTGACGGCCCTGCCCCTGACTGGCTTCCCCTTGTTCAGACGTATGGTCCCGCTCTGTGGGGCATATCAGCTTCTCAGTTGGTTGATCTCTTAGGAACTCCTCATGCTATGTATGCTGTTGTTGTTTCTAGTGCTTCTGACTCTGTTTACTCGAGTATTGTTAGCTTAGGTGCTAGTCTTGCTGAGGTGCCTATTGCTAGTGTAGGTACTTGTGTAGACACTAGTCCAGGAGCTGCTCCGGAGGACGCTTCGCTGTCATTCACTCTGGACTTAGGAGCTTCGCGCTGTTTCTTCCGCGACCGTACGACCCTTAACCCGCTTCCTACACCGGTCTCTGTAGCACTGGCTGATCCCACTTCGGGACCAGTCACTGCTCGCTACACTACTACGCTTCCGTGCCCGGCTGTTCCCTCCGGTTCTCTGACTGGCTTCCACGTCCCCTCGTTCTCGAGGAACTTGGTGGGCGTGAGGTCGCTCATCGGTCAGCACGTGGGTGTGTGTATTGAGCCTTCTGGCGAGACTGCGGTTTGTGTCGACGGAGACACGTACGCGCCTCTCGCCCCCTTTACCGCTGAGCCGGGCTCTGGTCTCTACACACTTCACACTAGCCCCCATGGGCAGCAGCAGCAGCAGCAGCGGCGGCAGCAGCAGCAGCAGCAGCGACAGCAGCTACTGTCCCCGGCCCCTGTCACTACCCCCCGTCAGGTTCCCTCGTCTCACCAGGTTGCCGCATCTCCCCAGGTAGCTGTGTCTGGTCAGGTTCCAGTGTCTGGTCCAGTTGCTACGTCTTGCTCCTGCTGGTCACTTGCCCACCCCACCGTTTTGTGGCACCACCGGATGGGGCACCCGTCCATTCCTCGCCTGCGCGCGATGTCTAGTCAGCGTCTTGTCTTAGGCCTCCTGCGTGTCTTGCCGTCGCTGCCGCCTTCGCTTGCCCCACCTTGCGGTCCCTACGTCGAGGGTCGGCTGCGCACCACCCCTCACTCCTCCTCCCTTCGTCCGGCCACCGAGCCCTTCGAGACTCTCAACTTGGACGTCTG